TATGACATACTAATAGACGTGTGTGTGTGTGTGTGTGTGTGTGTATTGATGTCAAGCTAATTACGGCTCACAGTGGCCCTATAGGATAGAGCAGAATGGCTCCACGGGCTTTCTGAGGCTGTAAAATTGTATGGAAGCAGACTGCCATATCATTCTCCATTGGCTAGGGGGCTCAAACCACTGCCCTTCTAGTTAGCCGATGAGCATATTTAACCACTGTATCACGAGGGCTCTTTATATAGAGAGATACATAGGAATATAGTGAGTGTGAACATGTATGTATGCAAATATCTTTGTTTTCTTCCCTCCCTTATCCCATGAGCCACCCAAACCAAACCCATTGCCATCGAGTCAATTCCAAGTCACAGTGATCCCTTAGGACAGAGCAAAATTGCCTCAGAGGGTTTCTAAGGCTGTAATCTTTATGGAAGCATATGGCCTCATTTTCTTTGTGGCGAAGCTGGTGGGCTCAAATCTTTAACTTTTTGGTTAGCAGCTGAGTGTTTTAATCATAGCCCTTCACCTCCCCGGCCCGGGCTTCTCCTTATCCAATTACATATGAAAAAACAAATGGAAAAGGGTTAGTGCACTAAATGGACACAGGACTTTAAAACGGTCTCTATTTGGAGATTCTGTATGGTTCAATATGATTTAAGGAGATATGTACAGGTGCCAAGGAATGGACTGTGATGGTGAATTGTGTGTATCAACTTGGCTAAGCAATGCTTTTCAGTGTTACGTAATGTAATGCAATATAATGTAATGGTGTGCTGTAATGACTTCTCGTGATAGAACTAGCCAATCAGTGAAAAGGGAAGTTTCCCTGAGGTGTGTTCTGCCTGAAGAATGGATATGCTATTCTAGCCGCAATCACTCACTCTCACACGCACGCCCTGGGGCGAAGCCTTCTGCAGGCTCTATCTAGCCTTATCTGCAGATTCAGGACTGCTAGCCCCACCACTGCTTAGGACATTTCCTTGAAGTAAATCTCTCTTTATACATTTATTGGCACTAGTTTTCAAATAAAATTCCTTCACACACACACACACACACACACACACACACACACACACACTACACTGGTAACTCTGGTGGGCATATAAAAAACAAACTTGATGGTTATATTTGAGTAGTAAACATAATAAACTCAACTTATTAAAACTTTTGACAAGCTCAAAATATTTTAAAGCTTTCACCAAATGCTGTCTCTAATATCCTTAGGCATAAGATGACCCAGATCATCGGTAGAAGCAAGTTTCTCAGAGAGGGATTATGTCTTACTTAATGACTCAAATAATAAACCGGTGCTCCCCCTTTTTTTTGGTGGCAGATTATTTTATTTATTGATTGATTTAATTTGAAAAATCAGTTTATTCGGGGCTCTTACCACAATCCATACATACATCCATTGTGTCAAGCATATTTATACATATGGTACCATCATCATTTTCTTTCTTTTTCTTTTTTTTAATTAAATAATCATTTTATTAGGGGCTCATACACCTCATCACAATCTGTACATACGTCATTTGTGTCCAGCACATTAGTACATATGTTGACTTCATCATTCTCACAACACCTGCTTTCCACTTGAGCCCTTGGTGTCAGCTCATTTTTTCCCCTCCTTCCCCCCTTCCCCCAAACCCTTGATAATTTATAATTATTATTTTATCATATCTTACCCCATCCAACATCTCCCTCACATACCTCTCCACTGTCCATCCCCCAGGGAGGAGGCCCTGTGCAGACCTTGTCATCTGTTCCCCCTTTCTCCCTCACCTTCCCTCCACCGTCACTCTCTCCACTGTTCCTGGGGGTTCCTATGTCCTGGGTTCACTGCATTTCCAGTTCCTATCTGTGCCAGTGTACATCGTCCAGTCCAGCCGGGTATGTAAGGTAGAATTGAGATCATGGTAGTGGGGGGGAGGAAGCATTTAAGAACTAGAGGAAAATTGCATATTTCATCGTTACTACACTGTACCCC